GAGCACTACACACTGGGGTCTGTTGGGGGGAAATGGGGGAGTGACAGTGTGGGGTGGGGAGTTGGGGAGAGATAGCATGGGGAGAAATGCCAGATATAGGTGAAGGGGAGGAAGGCAGCAAATCACACTGCCATGTGTGTACCTATGCAACAATCTTGCATGTTCTTCACATGTACCCCAAAACCTAAAATGCAACAGAAAAGAAAAAAAAAAGCATAGGGAGAATTCCTGTTCCTTCTTTTCTCTCACTGCATTGCACCAAAGGCAGTCCCAGCTGCAGAGAATTGTGTCAAAGCATGGGCAGATAAATCTTAAAAAAAATAAAAAATAAAAAATAATCCCAGTCTTCTACACAAATGACTAGGAAAAGGGGCCCTGGGATCTGGGCAGTGTGGGGAAAATCCCAAGGAAAAGGGAGCTGGAGAATGGGATCCTCTCATTCCATGTATGGACCCACACAAATCCGAGTTTCATACCTAGGATGCACGAGCGTGAGATAAACCAAGACTAGCAAAAGAAGGCTTTGAGATCTGAACTACCACACAATCTACAAGTTCCAAGCTAACTGCTAAAACAGATCTACAGCAGCAAAGCAAAAACCTTGAAAACAGAACTGACACAGGAAACACCATTCACAGAAAGTAAAACGGAACTCATGGTCTGACTGCCTGCTAAAACAGAACAAAACAAATCAGTTTTTCCAAAGGATGTTAATAGAACCTAGAGTTTTACAATACAGTACTCAAAATGTCCAAGATACAATCCAAAATTACTCAGTACACAAAGACCCAGCACATCCTTAATGCCAAATAAATTTCAGAGACAAGTAACTAAAAGAAACCTTAAAACAAAACTGAAACACAAGCTTTAAGTTTTAAAAGAGCTTCAAGAAGCCCAGAAAAGAGGCGGTGGTGTTATATGTTTTTTTTTTAAGCTTTCAACACATTTCAGCCAAGTCCATTTTATCCAGAGAGATGCAACAAAACTGAAGGGAAACACCAATTTTGGTTTCATTACATTCTTGAGATCTGGGTGCCTGTCATTTGTGTCCTTAATAGTTGGCTCTGCATAGCTATGGCTCTGTAAGAAGTGAAGGCTGAGTGTTGTTTGTCAGCTTGCCTTCATTTTGAAAAAATGTATCACTCATTTTGAATGAAATCAAATTGTAACTAGACTGTATAACTTTAACATTCTGCTTCTACTGACTTGATAAATAGTAAGTTACTTGATAATCAGATTCAGAAACATTTCAGTAATGCAAAAACTAGTTTTACACTCCACTTTAATTCAATCTGAAAGGAGTAAGGAATGGTGAAAACAGTACCCATCCCTAGTTTCAGGATTCAAAACTAGGAATGAGTGTTTATATTCCATTGGTCTTTTTAATGCAAATATAGAGTTGAGAGTATTAGACAATTGTGCACCATCTTGCCTAAAGAGCCCAGGACTTAGTTTATGTTGATACCAGATGCAGTTCCATTGTTTTTTTTTTTTTTCTTTTTTTCTTAATCCAACTCTTATAATGGAAATAAATATGTAAATAATTCTTTATAGATATTTCATCACAAACTTTACTAGAAAACTTTATTATTTTAGAACAAGGAATATGCCCTTTAGGCATCTGAATAATTTAAAGTACAAAAAACAGGAGGAAACAGCTGCAACTAAAGACACCTTCAAATGCTCAGAATGGCTACAGTAGTCCACAAAAACTAACAGCAAGCCTATGTTCCGGAAAATATTAGATGTATTTGGAAACAGGCATCAATGGAAGATACGCTCACTTTTAAGTTATTTACCATGGAACTGTGAAATATGGAGTACCACAGGCCCATATCTTTGTGACTTCATTTAAACTGTCTGGTACTATACAATGTATGTGCAAAACTCAGAATTCTACTCACAAAATTAAAAGCAAAACCTGGCTAGGCTACTTAATTTTAACTCTTAGTCACCTCAATCTTCTTTTGTTTTTGAGATGGAGTCTCGCTCTGTTGCCCAGGCTGGAGTGCAGTGATGCAATCTCGGCTCACTGCAACCTCTGCCTCCTGGTTTAAAGGATTCTCCTTCCTCAGCCTCCCACCACACCCGGCTAATAATTTTTTTTTTTTTTTTTTTTTTTTTTTTTTTTTTTGTATTTTTAGTAGAGACGGGGTTTCATCATGTTAGCCAGGATGGTCTTGATATCTTGACCTCATGATTCACCCGCCTCAGCATCCCAAAGTGCTAGGATTATAGGCGTGAGCCCCTACACCCTACCTCTACGTTCTTTTAGATACCTTCACTCTGTCAAGGATCATTTGAGTACCTGCTACATTTCAGGTCTTGCAGATACAAAGATGAATGCAGTATAACAACTAAAATTAATGACTCAAGTGGTGCATTACATTATTTATGTCCCTGAGTCCTCTAAAAAAAACCCTAGAGGTTACTATATACTGACTGTATCACTGTCCCATTTTACAGATGAGGAACATACCCTAAACTCACAGAGCTATGATTGTAGAATTTGAACCCAAGGCAAATTAACTCTAAAACCTAAATTCTCAACCATAAATCTTCACTAGCTTGAAGGAACTCACTTTCTATTGAAATATACAAATGTAAATGAACACATTAAAACATAAAAGTAAATGCTTTCATTGACATTTAAGGGCAGTGAGAATTCAAAGGACAGGAGCACTCATTCTGTCTGGAAAAATGTCTACAACATGGATGTGTCTAATATGACTTTGAAAATAGTTTTTAAAGATCAATAAATATATTCTAGACTAAAAACTGGTGAAGAAAACTACACAGAGAAAAATGTGTTCAAAGGTTCACAATTGTGGAAGCGGAACAGACATCCAAGAAACAATGAAAAATTCAACTGTCACAGAAGAGGGATGGTGGAAAGAGAGTAAAACACAGAAAAAGGAATTTTTACATATAATCTTTATTTTTCCCATGAAGCATGGAGGTGTTCTGAAATGTAACAATCAGCCTTCCTTTTTTATAAAGATGAATCTGTTGACGACGTGGAGGATAGACTGGAGTAGAGACTGGTGAGAAAGAATTCTAGGCCAGGCGCAGTGGCTCATGCCTATATTCCCAGCACTTTGGGAGGCCAAGGCAGGAGGAATGCTTGAGGCCAGCAGTTCTAGACAAGCCTAGGCAACACAGCAAGATCCCATCTCTACAAAGGATTAAAAAAAATTAGCCAGACATGGTGGCATGTGCCTATAGTCCTAGTTGCGCAGGAGGCTCAGGAAGGAAAATTGCTTGGGCCCAGGAGTTTGAGGCTTCAGTGAGCCAAGATCATACCACTATACTCCAACCTGTGTGACAGAGCAAAACTCTTTTAAAAAAGAAAAAAAAAAAATTGTAATGAGTTGTCAGTTGCAATAATCCAAATGACAAATGATAGTTTTTTTCAGATGAAGCAACAGGGCAACAGGGATGGTGGTAAGAGACCTCAAAGACCTAAAAGTAAGGATTGAGTTGAAGGTGACGATTTTAACTAAAAATGAGATAACAGATGTCTGGAAGAAACTAGTTTTGGGCTCATATTTTATAACAGAGATAACAAAAGGTTTATTCTGGGAGTGTAGGAGGGAATATAATAGTGATTGCAAAGCACTCTGACTTGGGGGAGATGGTATAAAACTGTACTAGGATTAGACACATCCATAGTATTAATGTCTTGGAATCTGACTGACTTTCCATCATGTTAATTTCCCTATGTAATGAAATGAGAATTCTTTTTTTTTTTTTTTTTTTGAGACGGAGTTTCACTCTTGTTACCCAGGCTGGAGTGCAATGGCGCGATCTCAGCTCACGGCAACCTCCGCCTCCTGGGTTCAGGCAATTCTCCTGCCTCAGCCTCCTGAGTAGCTGGGATTACAGGCACACACCACCATGCCCAGCTAATGTTTTGTATTTTTAGTAGAGACGGGGTTTCACCATGTTGACCAGGATGGTCTCGATCTCTTGACCTCGTTATCCACCTGCCTTGGCCTCCCAAAGTGCTGGGATTACAGGCTTGAGCCACCACGCCTGGCCGAGAATTCTTTAGAAATGTATTATCAGATATTTATGCTAACAGATTATCTGGATACCAGTTTTCACGTAACACTTTAGTACTTAAAGGTAGTTGAGTCCAGAGAGAAGCAGGGAAGTATGTTACAAAACAAGGTTTAAGTCTTAAAGCACCACCCTATTTATCCTAAAGAACTCAGAAAGAAGGTAGGCTCTAGAACCAGACAAACCTGGGTTCAGATTCCAGCTCTGTCACTTACTAACTCTATGGACCCACATTATTTATTTATTCTAAGTTATCATCTGTATATTGGAGAAAACATGTATATCTCACAACAGTGCTACTAGTTCCTAGCACAGACATGGCAGTTATATTATATTATCATTACAAATAAATTTTTCCTTGGCATGTTTCTTAAAATAGAAAATTCCATACTTACTATCAATTGTTTATATGTCAGTGCGTCTTAGAATATTTCCTTTAAGCTCCCTTAGCCACAGGGTAAAGTGAAACAATACACAAAGATTTGGGTATATAATCTGGAGCCGGCACAAAATTTTTAAATTTTATCTTTATTAATGTGCATCCTGCACATAACCATATTTAATACTAAAATGTTAATCTTCAGATAAGACTGGCAAACTGAGAAAATGCACCAGGTCTATACTACAGCAATGCCCATAATACAGTGCCTCAATTACCTCAAGATGTCTCAGATTAGAGAAGTCTGGATGGCATACTGTACAGATTATGCTGCCTTTGTCAAAAAGCCAAGAAAAACTGGAACTACTTAACCTAAAACCCAGATCTTTCCTATAGGCAAGAAAAATTTAAAAAATAAGTCCCTATACATTTTTGTCCTGAACATGTACTTGCAGACCTGCTTTAAGTGGGAAAAAAAAAAAAAAAAAGCTTAAAATATGGGCTATGGCTGAAATAAGAATAGAAGTAATAACTATGAATCTAAATTTTAAAACTTTACCTGTTTTCTTCTTTTTATCAGAAGTAGTATCCAAAGTAGTTAGGGGAGTAGAGATGCTTTTATAAGCATCTTGACCACATCCAGGATCATCTTCATCAGAAGAAAATGAAGATAAATGTTCCAAGTTTTTAAGTTCGTTATCAACTTTATCTGATGGACTGTTACTGCCAGTTTCAGACATGAAAGGTGTGGGTGCTGTAGATGAAGGCTTTGGAAGTGGTGGGGGACAAAATGTACGAACCATCTGGGTCCCTGGTCGTCTAGTCCTGTTAGGCATTCGTACAGCAAGAGTGGAAAACTGCTGCTTGGGCCCAGATTTCAGAAAATCTAAGAAAGAAGCAATAAATCCTGTTTTGACTTCTGGTTGTTTTTCCTCTACCTCTTTGATCTTCTGTCTCATTTTTTCTTGATGCTGATAACCATCGTGGCAGCTTTCTGAGGAAGGAGGAGTGTATGGTAAATATATATCTGTTCCCCTTGGATTCTGGCGTTTGCCTTGGGCAGGTCTTTTCAGCTGTTTCTGATTACTGTGGTCTTCCTCTTTAACTTGCCCTTTTCCTTTAGCTCTTTTCTTTTGAAGGTTAAAATGCATTAAATCTTGGTTTTCTTCTTCAGTCTTGACACTGATTGCATCCCCAGATTGGGCCATGGCCAACAGCGCAAGTGCACTCCTAGCTGGGTTCACTGATACACCACTGTCATCACCCGCTAAAGTAAATTCACTCTCTGATGTCGCACTCTCTCCACTTATACTTCTACTGCTAGAAACAAACTCTTGGTTTCGGTTATTATTTAATGTACTATCAACAGGAACTTCGCTGTCTTCTTCAGATTCATGATTGGTAGCAGACTGTTTCTTGAATGGGCCAGAACTTTGCTCCTGGACTTCACGACTTGGTCCAACCACTGCTGAAGTTACTTTAGTTGGTATATTTTGACCAGGTGTTTCAATGTGCTGTTGATCAAGAGTCATTTTTGACTGAAGGGCAGGTACTGGTGAAAGGTTCACAGTAACCTGATTTCCATTTAAGGAAATATCATTTATATTCTGTGACTTTCCTACTGTAGCTGTTACAGAGTTAAAATCTGAAGTCACATGCCTGACATCTAATGAATGCTGAAAATGAGATTTAGAATCACCATCTTCAACAGCCTGCATGGTTTCATTTGAAGTTGACTTGGAAAAATCAGAAGGTGTAACCCCACAAGCTGCTGCTGTAGCTGCTAAGATATCATCTACATTTGATAAAATATTTCTTTCATCACTGAGAAGCATTGCCTCTGGAAAACACATTGATCCAAGAGAAACAAACTGATTCTTTGAATCATGTTGATTTGTTTCACTAAAATGGTCCTTTGTTGTTAGATGTTGTTGTAATGGTTTTGAAGACTCAGAGAGGTCCATTTTCATAACTTCAGAATTTTGAGGATGGAGTTGCTGCTGAGAATGATCGCCATTGCTTTGAATAACATGACCTTCCATCTGAAGGAAAGGATGTACTATTTGTTGAGGGCTTTGAACACGCTGTGCTTGTAAAGATGCCTTTACTTGACCTAAACCTGCCTGCAGTATTGACTGCTGAAGAATTTGTAAATCGCATGCAGAATCTAGAAGGACCTGTGTATTAGGAAGAGATGCCTGATGGCCATGCCCTAAAGCATGATTTGGAATTTGAATCTGAGACGAAGCATTAATTATTTGATCATGCTGTTCCTGGACCTTGGACTCATGCACCTTAAGTACAAGAGGATGCTGGTGCTTTAGGTCTTTAGTATTCAACCTTATTTGTGGAGTCTGTATTAAATTAGTTGCCTTCTTAAGATCAAGGGTAGCTGCATTATTGACTTGGCCAATTTGTTGGTTAAGTTGTGTCACTGAACCAACAACACTTTCTTCTTTTTTTGATGCTTGTAGAGCAACCCCAATAACTTGATCTTCAAGACGGGAATTACTTCTGATTACACTCTGAGAATATCTGTCATCTGCCTTTGACACCTTGTAAGTTGATTCTTGAGCATTAATTTCCCCATCAGATAGCCTTTGGGTTGATGACTCAAGAGATGCTTGTGGCTGCAATACCTGTAACTCTTGCATTGGAAAACCATCTTCTTGCTTTGAAGATGTATACACATCTGAGTCAAGCTTTCTTTCAGTATAAGATTTTGGGTCAGGGGAAGGTATGTTATTTTGTAATGTCTGACAATGAGTAGATGATGCAAAAGATGATGACTGGACAGCAGGCAAAAACTTCTGGGACTGGGGAGATGATGACTCTTGAGTCTGAACATTTTGGGAAGAATGCATAGAAATATAATTCTGGCTTGTACTAGAGTCTGGCAAATTCTGAGCCCGAGAGGCAGAAGAATAAGAAAGAGAAGGGGCTGTTAATGTTAGGGACTCCCCTGAAGCATAGCTTTCTGAAGGACTAACAACTGATAAAACTTGTGATTGAGATGAATAGCTAACCTGTGTCTGGCTAACTGGTGATAAACCCTGAGAGTGACCAGATGAGTAACTTTGAGACTGACTGACTGAGGATAGATCTCTTGTTTGAGCAGGGTAATTTTCATTTGTAACCGAAGACAATACCTCTTGCTGATTAGATGAATAACTAAGTGTCTGATTTTCAGAAGTTATAGTCTGAGATGACCCCGAAAAAGTCAGTGTTTTATACAAGGGTGGCAATTTCTCAACCTTGCTGGACCTATAAACCTGTGAATGAACAATAGATGGCACATTATGTGGCTGCACTAAACCGTAATTTTGGGACTGACTAACTGATAAAAGGCTTGGTAGCTGCGCTGTAGAATAAATTTGTGCTTGGCCCGATACTACAGAACTCTGGTTATGTAAAGGTTTGGAATAGCTTAGTGTTTGGACAGGAGGAATTATACTTTGAGGTTTAGGGGTCTTGGTTGATGTTAGTGGTTGTTCTGTAGAACAGCTTTTTACTTTTGTAGTAGGATACCCTGATGATGGAATTGCAGATGAATAAGACTGAGCAAGTTCCACTGAGACCTGGGAGGCCTTCTGTTGCAATCCTCCATTGCTCACCTGAGTGGAATCTCCAATTGGGCTACAGGATAAAGATGACTGCCTGGTTGTTTCCTGAAAATTAGCTACACTTGAATTTGATAGATAACTATGTAAGGAGTGCTGTGAACCAGTCAGTTGTGCCTGAATAGACTGGGTACCTGAAGGCCGCTGATGGTGTTTAATAACACTACATTCTCGAAGAAGAGCTCTTTCAATGGAAGCAGTAGAACTAGTAAAGAGAGTTGAACTGTAGGCTTGAGGAGTCTGCTGGGCTCCCCCAAGTGCTGAAGGCAACAAACTAAATTGAGGTTGTAAAAGATGGGGTGCAGACTCTTGAGCTGAGCGGTATGTTGAAGACTGAGGTGGTATGCTGTTACTTAATGCAGAACTGCCCAGGCGCTCAAATGCCAAAGCAGTTGGAACAGTTCCCTGGGAAGTCTTGATTTGTAGCAAAGGGTCATGATGACTTAAAATTCCATTTGATGTAGTGTTAAAAGTTGAATCCTGAAGCACCAAAGGTGAGGTGGTGGCAAAGTTTCTATTGCCGAAGGTGGTAGGATGCTGGTAAGCAGAGAGAGCAGATGGTAGAAGTGTTCCAGTGCTTGGCAAAGGTCCAGTAGCAAACAGCTCAGTTGCTGCTGAGGAATGCATGCCTATAAAGAAAAGGCACAAAAATTTTTATGCAATTATGGCACAATTACTTTAATGTATGTTTTCATAGTAGTGATTTGCATAGCCCTTAAACCATCAAAATGTCTTAAGACTGAAAAGCCTGACCAATTAATTCTGCATGTAGATTTTGAAAATTACATTTCAAAATACCTAGCTTTCCCCCACCCTCTTTTTTATTTACTTATTTTACTGTGTTGCCCAGGTTAGAGCATAGTGTTGCGATCATAGTTCACTGCAGCCATAGTGTCCCAAGTAGCTGGTGCATGCCCCATATACACCTGGCTAATTTTTAAATTTTTGTAGACATGGGGTCTTGCAATGTTGCTCAGGCTATCTTGAACTCCTGGGCTCAAGTGATTCTCCTACCTCTGTCTCCCAAAGTGCTGGGATCATAGGTGCAAGCCACCATGCCTGGATTAGCTAGCTTCCTTAGAGTAAAAATGAAGTTACAAAGGCATCAGCAACTCATATCTGTAATTGTTATATAAGTCAATTTATATATAGTTTGATAAGGTCAGAGGAAAATGAAGAACCCAGTAAAAAATGTACATATCTTTAGTGATTATCCCAAAGTCCCTATACAAAATACCAATGGACAAACTAAAATGTACATAACATTAAAATAGAGGAAAAAACCCCACTAACTTGCCTATATCTAACATGATAAATAAATCTAAAAAAACAGTGAACTGCAGTTTCTTTTACCAAAATATATTTACTTTAAAAATCTCTTGCATTTTAAGTTTTGACTTCCTATGAACAGCTTCCCAATAACAACAGATGAATGTTTATCATGAAAAGTTAATCAGAAATTAATAAAGTACTGTCAGAAAGGGACTGTTAACATTTCAGGACAGCATTTGAGCCACATAGAGCAAAAGTAAAAATGGGTATACTGTGATCTGAAAGTTCTATAGAAATTTATTCTATAGAAATAAGTGCATGCAGAAATATTTGTACCAGATATTCATTATAGTTATTGTTTACAGTAACTAGAAAAAACAAAAATGACCATAAACAAGGGATCAATCAAATAATTATGACATATCATAATAATACTATTGCCACAAACATTAATTAAGGTGGATATATATGTTTTGACATAGAAGGATATCCAATAAAAATAAGTCACAAACTGTTAGTTACTCTCTAAAAAGTTAGGAACTATCACTTTCCACCTTATATATCTTTTAACTGTTTAAATGTTTTATGGTGAACCTCTATTAAATTTTACTTTTTCGTTTTTGGAAAATGGGGAAAACGATTCTCTGGCTCTTTGAAAAACATTTTCCTACTTTCCATTAAATATCCAAAAAGAATTACTACTACAAAGATAGAAAATATCTAGTGACACTTTAAAGAATAAATAATACTTAGAAATGTTTGAAGTAATACACTCATATGAACTAGAATAGACTTTTGAGATAATATAGTTCAACTCCTTTGCTCTAGCAATTAGGAAACTGGGGTTGACTGGTGATGTGATTTGCTGAGGGCCAAGTGGTATTCATGAAACTCTAATCAATTGACTCTACTGCTCTTTACCAGAGATCTCCTATTCTTTTGTATGTGTTGGGGTTGGAGGTGGGGTGGCGAAACATAAGAAGTAGACAGTAATAAAGAATTGACATTTAACTAAATGTAAGGTTACAAATAATGGATTCAGTTTTAATGGTCATTCTAAGGAAAGAACATGTTTTATTATCACATATGTCAAATCCTATCTAAAGAACCAATTGTAATTACATGGTGATGGACACTATCACAGTTACGCCTAGAATGAGGAAGAGGCTAGTTAGAAAGGACAGACTATCTGAGGCTTAAAGTGGTAGTAAGGAGAATTTCTTGAAATTCTTCTATCCAGTACAATGATAAAGGATCTTTCTCACTTGACTTACTTCTGCATGATTTACTAGATTAATGTAGAAGAGAGTCACAGAGGCTAGCAAATTCACCACAGTATGCCCAAGAAGATACTTTGAAATGCGTCTAATGCTCATACTGTAATCTCAAACATGCCAACAGAAGATGTTTCTTATCATAATACACTAATACCTTCTTCCAACTAATGGTGTATTTATATGTTGTGTATATTCTTGTCTCAATTTCATTTTTATTTCCCATTCATAGTTTAGGTCCAGTTTAATGTGCTCAAAAATCCACTTAATTTATTTTAAGTGGCCAAATGATAGTAAAATCACTCATGCGCTGAGAAAAAATAAAAATAAAAAACCTTCTACCTCACTAACCTGAGATTCCAAGCCCTTCTGAATGCAATTCAATTACGGGACCAGATACAAACTGCAAAAATGAATTGTTAAAAATTGAAACCTAGGCTGGGCTCAAGCTTTTGAGAGGCCAAGGCAGGCAGATCACATGAAGTCAGGAGTTTGAGACCAGCCTAGCCAAGCTGGTGGAACACCGTCTCTACTAAAAACATAAAGATTAGCCAGGCATGGTAGCGCACACTTGTAATCCAGCTACTCAAGAGGCTGGGACACAAGAATCACTTGAACCCGGGATGCAGAGGTTGCAGTGAGCCAAGATTGTGCCACTGTACTCCAGCCTGGGAAACAGAGTGAGACTCTGTCTCAAAAAACAAACCCCCCCAAAAAACCTGAAATGTAAAAATTCACAAAAACTTTAAAAACAAACTATACAAGGGTAAAAACACTTTACAGAAATATTAAAAGATTTTTTTTTGTTTTGTTATTATCCCCTTAGAAGCAGAAAAAAAATGTTGCTAAGGCATATTGAGAAAATTCCATTAGTGGAATTTACATCAGAATGTTAAAATACTATTTCCTATAGCTATCCCTTAAAAATATATCCTCAAATACACTATGACATTTCTTCTTTAAAACAAAACTCCAAACAAAAATTCCAGTCATACTACAAAAAAATAGAAATATGTATAGATAATTTTTTTTTTTTTTTTTGAGACGGAGTTTTGCTCGTTACCCAGGCTGGAGTGCAATGGCACGATCTTGGCTCACCACAACCTCCGCCTCCTGGGTTCAGGCAATTCTCCTGCCTCAGCCTCCTGAGTAGCTGGGATTACAGGCATGTGCCACCATGCCCAGCTAATTTTTTGTATTTTTAGTAGAGACGGGGTTTCACCATGTTGACCAGGATGGTCTTGATCTCTTGACCTTGTGATCCACCCGCCTCGGCCTCCCAAAGTGCTGGGATTACAGGCTTGAGCCACCGCGCCCGGCCTATATAGATAATTTTTTATGAGAAATGGCTGAAAAGTAAAATAAGAACAATGAAATAGAAAAGCACATTATAGACCTTGTAATTGTTGCTGGAAAATGGGTACATTATAATATCAACTTGTAATGGCTCTTATTAGTGATTTAATCTATCCAATTCAGGATAACTTTATATAACACTAACAGTGAAATGAGTCCCAAGATTTTTTTTACTATACCACCTACACACTCTGAAGTCACTAAAACAAATTTTAATATTTGCTTCTTTAAAGTAGACAAGTAATTAAATTGCCAGATATAAGCTTTATATCAGACTTTCTTTAATCATTATCTATCCCTCAATGTCAACTTATTAGTTTTCATCAGAATGCTAAAACTAAATTTCCTCCAGTAGCAAATTCTTGAATTTTAACCACCTTAAAATTCTGAAATATCCCAGGTCTTGAAATTCAGTGGAAAATCAATAAGTAACAAAACTCCCAGCCACAATGATAAGACTACCAAATGTATATTTTTCATCAGTATTTTTATAGGACTTAAAAATTCTAAAAACAAAGAATCACCTGTTTGCCAGGATGGAGCCCTGAATTGTGGTAAAAGAGTAGTTCCTGAAGCAGCAGCCTGAGCAGTTCGAGATTCAGCAGTAGACAGAAAATTCATCACTGAAGACTCTTTAGTGTTACTGCTGGCACTGTTTACACTAGTATCAAATATTCCAGAAACACCTACATTTGAAGATAAAATATATCCTGAAGTAAAAAATACATATACATATATATATGTACTTATATACAATTATATTCCTGACTCTAAAATTTCTGAAAATTGAGGCCAAAACATTCTACAATCCTAAATGGCTTTATTTTGAAATAGTAAACACAATTTAACCAAGCATATTTATAATTTAAAATCTCCAAAGATGCATGAAAGATCTTTTAATTCATTAATTATATAAATACTCCCTGTTGGTAAAAAACAAAGCTTTGGCTGGGTGCGGTGGCTCATGCCTGTAATCCCAGCACTTGGAGAGGCTGAGGTGGGTGGATCACAAGGTCAGGAATTCGAAACCAGCCTGGCCAATATGGTGAACCCTGTCTCTATCAAAAAATACAAAAATTAGCCAGGTGTGGTAGGGCGCCTATAGTCCCAGCTACTCAGGAGGCTGAAGCAGGAGAATCACTTGAACCCAAGAGGCAGAGGTTGCAGTGAGCTGAGATTCCACTGCACTCCAGCCTGGGCAACAGAGCAAGACTCCATCTCAAAAACAAAATAAAACAAAACCAAAGCTTTTACTCTCATTTTCATTTTAACATTTCCCATGACATAATTATGTCCTACACATTCAGAACCCAACACATGAAAATTGGTTTTTCTTCTTATTCACTAAATGTACCCAGATTCATAATGTATTTCACAGGAGAATTGTTACCAGTAGGTTGAGGTGTGGGAGCATATCCAGGAAGCTGGTGAGAGGCTGCAAAACTCTGTCTCTGAAGGAGATCTGTTTCAGAGTGTGAGGGATGTCCTTCTTCATAGCTTAAACTAGAGAACATTGAAAATCAGTGTGACCAAAATACACAGTCCAAACCATGTGATAAAAAAACTTCTAGAAGAACAACTATAAAAGTAGTAGAAACCTTTGACCAACCTCCTGACCTATAGATCAGTGGATTAAACACAGTCTGACAATACTGTCACAATGGAGAAAATATATTTAAGATGCATTAGGAAGAAAAATAATACACAGTATTTTCCTTAATTCAACTCTAACTCAGGCAAGAGTCTTTTTACTGGGAGAGGGAACGTAGTACAGCAGAAAAAGCAATATCCTGGACAAGACAGAGCTGAATTCATTGTCCAGGCTCTACTTCTAGCTTACAGTGTAATTTAAATAAGTGACTCAATTATTGTTGGACTACTTTCATCTGTATAAAAAAAGGATCAGATGAGGCCAGGTGCGGTGGCTCACGCCTGTAATTCCAGCACTTTGGGAGGCCAAGGCGGGTGGATCACAAGGTCAGGAGTTCAAGACCAGCCCTGGCCAAGATGGTGAAACTCCATCTCTACTAAAAATACAAAAATCAGCTGCCTGTAATCCCACCTACTCTGGAGGCTGAGGCAGGAGAATTGCTCGAACCCACCAGGCAGAGGTTGCAGTAAGCCAAGATCGCACGACTACACTCCAGCCTAGCAACAGAATGAGACTCTGTCTCAAAAAAAAAAAAAAAAAAAAAAAAAAAAAGAGAAAAGAAAAGAAAAAGAAAAAGGACCAGATGAAATAACCTCCACAACCTTTCTAATTCTAATATCCTATGGAATAACAGATAATTCAAATAAAATAATTAATATCATTTCTCAATAACTCATTGAGAAAATTTCAAGCTCAAACATTTGGAGAGTAGTCCAAAACAAGCTTTTCTCCCCATCTCCTTGGAAAGGAAAGGCCATGTTTTTATTTGGAATATTTTAAACCCACAGGAAACAACCGAAAGTACAATGAACACCCATATACCTGTCCCTTAAGATTCAACAACTATTAAGATTTTGTAACTTCATTTTTCTCTATACCCACATACCACTTTTCTTTTTTTGCTAAACAACTTGAAAATAACTTAGAGATACCAGTTGCATCTCATAGGAGTAAGGACATTCTTATAAAACTAGATATTATTATTAGACTTAAACACATTTAGCATTAGTTAAATAACCATGTAATTTATAGGTCATGTTCCAGTTTTCCCAGTTGTTGCCAAATGTGTAAAAGTTTTAAGCTCTTTTTAACTAGGATCCAATCAAAATTCAATAATTTCATTTGGTTATGTCTCTAACTTAGTATCAGTGCCTTCACCCAATCCCTAATCTCAAATTCCTTGACTTTTTGAAGAATCCAGGACAGCTGAATCATAAGATATCCCAAATTCTAGATTGGTGGTTTTTTTTGTTTGTTTGTTTGTTTTTTTAAAAGACAGAGCCTCTGTTGCCCAGACTGCAGTGCAGCAGCAGGATCATAGCTTGTTGTACCTCCAACTTCTGGACTAAAGCAATCATCCTGCCTCAGCCTCCAGAGTAGCTGGAACTACAGGCATGAGCCACCACACCTGGCCTACTGTATACTACTTACTGTATCACATGAGGAGGCACACAATGTCAGTCTGTCTCATTACTGATGATCCTGAGCTTGAAGTGGTTAAGGTAGTGTATCCTTATTAACATGAGCAACATAGCCAGCCAGGTGTGGTGGCTCATGCCTGTAATCCCAGAACTTTGGGAGGCTGAGGCAGGCGGATCACTTGATGTCAGAATTTCAAGACCAGCCTGGCCAACATGGCAAAACGCTGCCTCTACTAAAAATACAAAAATTAGCTGGGCATGGTGGCACAAGCCTGTAATTTCCAGCTACTCTGGAGGCTGAGGCATGAGAATCGCTTGAACCCAGGGGGCAGAGGTTGCAGTGAACTGAGATTGCACCATTGCACTCCAGCCTGGGTGACAGAGTGAGACTCTGTCTTTAAAAAAATTTTAAAATCAGCACTGTATCAACATTCCAGCAGTTTTACATCTTTGTCAATACTTGATCTTTTCAGTGTTCTTAATTTTAGTCGTTCTAGGTGGGTTCAGTGGAGTCCCATTGTGGCTTAATACGCATTTCTTTGATAACATATGAGGAGGTGCATCTTTCTCTATGCTTGTAAGGCTATTCTTTTAGCTTCTCTTATGAAGTTTATTCAAATCTTTAGCCCTTTTAAAAAATCTAGGTTGTCAGGCCAGGCACAGTGGCTCACACCTATAATCCCAGTACTTTGGAAGGCTGAGGCAGGTGGATCACGAGCTCAGGAGATTGAGACCATACTGGCTAACAAGGTTAAAACTCTGTCTCTACTGAAAATACAAAAAATTAGCCAGGCGTGGTGGCACAAGCATTTAATCCCAGCTACTTGGGAGGCTGAACAGGAGAATCACTTGAACCCAGGAGGCAGAGGTTGTAGTGAGCTGAGATCATACCACACTGTACTCCAGCCTGGGCAACAAAGTGAGACTCTGTCTTGAAAGAAAAAAAAGATCTAGGTTGTCATCAATTTCATTACTGGGTATATATCCAAAAGGAAACAAGTCATTCTACCAAAAAGACATTTACTTGCATGTTCATTGCAGCATTATTCACAATAACAAAGACATAGAATCATGCCCACCACAGTTGACTGGATAAAGAAAATGTGGTACACAAACATCTTTTTTTTTTTTTTTTTTTTTTTTTGAGACGGAGTTTCGCTCTTGTTACCCAGGCTGGAGTGCAATGGCGCGATCTCGGCTCACCGCAACCTCCGCCTCCTGGGCTCAGGCAATTCTCCTGCCTCAGCCTCCTGAGTAGCTGGGATTACAGGCACGCGCCACCATGCCCAGATAATTTTTTTGTATTTTTAGTAGAGACGGGGTTTCACCATGTTGACCTGGATGGTCTCGATCTTTCGACCTCGTGATCCACCTGCCTCGGCCTCCCAAAGTGCTGGGATTACAGGCTTGAGCCACCGCGCCCGGCCTACAAACATCTTAGAATACCACACAACCATTAAAAAAAACAAAATCATGTCCTTTGCAGCAATATGGATACTGCTGGAGGCTGTAATCCTAATCAAATTAATGCAGGAACAGAAAACCAAATACCACATGTTCTCACTATAAAAGTGGGAGCTAAACACTGGGTACTCGGACATAAAGATGGCAAAACAAAAACAGAAACAAAAACCAAAAAGAAACTGGGGCTACTGCAGGAGGAAGAAAGGGGATAAGGACTGGAAAATGAACCATCAGGTACTATGCTTAGTACCCAGGTGACAGGATCTTTTGTATTCCAAACTTCAGCATCATGCAGTATACCCAGGTAACAAACCTGCACATGTACCCCTGAATCTAAAATAAAAGTTGAAAATAAAAACCAAACCTGATTGTTTCCCTCCTTTACATATCCTGGATCTACATTCATTGTCAAATATGTATATTGGTAGTATTTTCTCCCAGTCTATTGGCTTGTCTTTTCATTCTCTTTCATTTTCCGGTGTCTTTATTTATTTATTACTTTTTTTTTTTTTTTTTTTTTTGAGACAACTGGCCGCCCAACCTGGAGTGCAGTGGCATGATTACGGCTCACTGTAGCCTCAACTTCCCGGGTTCAGGTGATTCTCTCACCTCAGCCTCTTAAGTAGCTGGGACTATAGACATGCGCCGCTACCACTGGTGAACTTTTTGTAGGGACAAGGTTTGTCCATGTTGCCCAGGCTGGTTTGGAACTCCTGGACTCAAGCAAGCAATCTGCCCACCTTGGCCTCCCAAAGTGCTGGGATTACAGGTGTGAGCCACCACATCCAGCCTCCTGTGTCTTTAAATAATAAGGTTTTAATTTTGCTCATTGTGAATTATCAACATTTTTTGTTTTATAGTTAGTGCTTTTGGTGTCCAAAGAAATCTTCACCAACCCAAAGTCACTAATATACTGTTTTCTTTTATAAGTTTTAATATTTTTGCTTTTATGTTTAGGTCTATGACTAATTTTGAGATGTGTCTGCGTGTATGGTGTGGTAAAGTTCAAGGTTCAAATTTTAAATCTTTTTGCTTTTAAAAAATTAGGTATAATTTGCACAGGTAGAATTCACCTTTTCTTTTTTCCTTTTTTTTTTTTTTTTTGAGATGGAGTTTCACTCTTGTTACCCAGGCTGGAGTGCAATGGTGCAATCTTGGCTCACTGCAACCTCCGACTCCTGGGTTCAGGCAATTCTTCTGCCTCAGCCTCCTGAGTAGCTGGGATTACAGGCACACACCACCATGCCCAGCTAATGTTTTGTATTTTTAGTAGAGACGGGGTTTCACCATGTTGACCAGGATGGTCTCGATCTCTTGACCTCGTGATCCACCCGCCTTGGCCTCCCAAAGTGCTGGGATTACAGGCGTGAGCCACCGCGCCCGGCCCTCTTTTTTCCTTTTTTTAAATTGTACTGTTTTTCTTTCTTTCTTTTTTTTTTTAAACTGAGACGGAGTCTTGCTCTGTTGCCCAGACTAGAGTGCAGTGGCGTAATCTTGGCTCACTGCAACCTCTGCCTCCCCAGTTCAAGTAATTCTTCTGCTTCTACCTCCTGAGTAGCTAGGAAGACAGGTGTGCGCCACCACGCCTGGCTAATTTTTTTATTTTTAGTAGAGACAGGGTTTCACCATATTGGCTAGGCTGGTCTCTAATTCTTGACCTCATGATCCGCCTGCCTTGGCCTTCCAAAGTGCTAGGATTACAGGTATGAGGCACTGCAACTGGCCAGAATTCACCTTTTCTAGTGCTTTTTTGTTTTTTGTTTTTTTTTGAGACAGAGTCTGACTCTGTCGTTTAGGCTGGAGTGCAGTGGCATGATCTCAGCTTACTGCAATCTCCACCTTCTGGGTTCAAGTGATTCTCCTGCCTCAGCCTCCCAAGCAGCTGGAACTACAGGCTTACACCATCACATCCAGCTAATTTTTAGTATTTTAGTAGAGACAGTGTTTCACCACATTGTCCAGG